TTCATCTTTGCCCATTTTAATTCAAAACTTTTTAAAAACCATGTGTTGGCCGGGCGCGGTGGCTCAAGCCTGTAATCCCAGCACTTTGGGAGGCTGAGGACCATCCTGGCTAACATTGTGAAACCCCGTCTCTACTAAAAATACAAAAAACTAGCCGGGCATGGTGGCGGGCGCCTGTAGTCCCAGCTACTCGGAGGCTGAGGCGGGAGAATGGCGTGAACCCAGGAGGCGGAGCTTGCAGTGAGCTGAGATCGCGCCACTGCACTCCAGCCTGGGCGACACAGCGAGACTCCGTCTCAAAAAAAAAAAAAAAACAAAAAAACAAAAAAACAAAAACCATGTGTTGACTAGACAAAACAATGTTTGGGCCAGATGTCGTCCATTGGCCACCTCCAGATTAGACTGTTTTGTCTATGAGGATTAATGTCTGTCTTAATGTGTGTGTGAATAATTTAAAAATTGTCTGCTGGACAGCTGGAAGGATTAAAAATTCATGTTACAGTCCTACTAGTCGAGAGATTTTGAAGCAAACTGCATTGGGAACATCTATTTGCACTCATTGCTTTTTTCAGTGAGCTGACTGGAAAGCACACTGACAGAAATGTGGAGAGGTTTTTGGAGAAAGCAAGAACAGAGGACAGGGGTTTGAGGTGAGGAAGTGGGAACTTCTGCAAGTGAACTAAAAACCTGTGCCCTTACTGAGGGGATAAAGAGTAATTTTGTTTTATTTTTTCATTTCCTTCTTTTTCCTTTGTTACTCCACCATTTCTATGAAGTCTGATGCACATGCTTTGATGGGGCTGGTGAAGACATAGAGAATGAAAACTAGGACAGTAAAGGAAAACCACCCCACATTGATCCCATACTTGGTGTCCAGTTAGAGAGAACAGGCATCCATTTAAGAGAATCTTGCTAAGATGTCCAAATGGTAACCAGTAGGGTGTGGGGGAGAGCAGCTGGTCAGTGGAGAAGGCCTCCTTCCTCCCCTGATATACTAGAAGAAGGTGATGTGTGTTTTGTTTGTTTGTTTGTTTGTTTCATTTTGTTTTGAGAAGGAGTCTCGCTCTGTTGCCCAGGCTGGAGTGCAGTGGCACCATCTCAGCTCACTGCAACCTCCGCCTCCCGAGTCCCAGCAATTCTCCTGCCTCAGCCTCCTGAGTAGCTGGGATTACAGGTGCCCACCACCACACCTGGCTAATTTTTGTATTTTTAGGAGAGACGGGGTTTCACCAGGTTGGCCAGGCTGGTCTTCTACTCCTGACCTCAAGTGATCCACCTGCCTCAGCCTCCCAAAGTGCTGGGATTACAGACATGAGCCACCACGCCCCGCCAGAAGGTGACAATCTGAGAAGACAGAGGCTGACATCTGCTTTGCAGTTGGAACTTTCTATATTCAGCACACGTTCCTGCCTAAGCATATCCTGGCCTTAGCTTGTTACCTCTTTTCATCCCCAAGGCTGGTGACCAACTTAGAAAGGGTCAAACCTCAAGGTTCTGTGCTTCAGGTTTAAGGGTGATAGACTGATTGGACCATGATTCTGACAATGAAGTCTCCTCATGACCACTTAAGATGTCTCCAGACCTCTGTGGGAAGTTCTAAGGTTGGGGAACACTGTGATATGAGGTCAGAAGTAAATCTGGGACCCAATCCTGGGAGGTCTCAGGAGGCAGATCTCAACTCCTGATGAAGGAGGTCTCACAGACTGAGCTATCCCACAAGGGCAGGAAAGGGAAAAGGTAAAGAGTTCTCCCAGTCCCTATGGGTGGCAGAAGGCAGTAGAATGGTCCCTATCAGGTGGGGCAAAGGGGAGACAAATCTGTTTTAGAGGGCATCTAGGGTCATTTCCAGTCAGGTATTCTGAATGTAGGGCTCTAGTTCTGAGACTGAGTCATATACCTGATTTTGGAGAAGCGCTCACTGCCGGGATGCTCAGAGTGCCACAGACCCTCGCTGTCTATAGAATCTCCTCTAGTAGGGGCTGATGGAGGCAGGTGGTCTCAGGAATGGATGTGGAGTTGAGCACCCCCAGTGAGCTGGCTATGAGCAGCCAGGTAGTACCTGGGCTGCCCAGACAGTTTGCAGAGATGGTTTTGTCTGGGTTAAGACTGTGTTGTCTATGAGAATGAATATCTTTGTGTGTGTGAGATCGAACTTCCAGGTTCAACCATGTCCTTCCTTTGCTTCACATTTTTGGAGGCATTCCATGGCCTGAGAGTTAGTATATAGTTCAAGCTCCTTCCCTGGCATCCAAGGCCTCTGATGGTTTGACTCTGCTGACCCCCATTTCCACCCATCACACTGCAGATCCAGCCTCACCCAGAGACCTCTTGGCACTGACTGAGTGCTGCTTTAGTTCTTGTTTCCTCTTCATCTAAGTTAGCAACTCCCACAAGACCATAGTTGCAAGAGCATTTGTCTTTTCAGTCAGCTTAAGACACTTCCACCCATACCTGGGCTGAGGGCTCCTTTCTCTGTGCCCCTACAACCTCAGGACTACCAGTTCCCACAGCCCATGTTGTCATAGTCTGTGTCCATGTCTAGGGTAGACAGACAGACAGACACACACACACACACACACACACACACACACAAAGGCACATGCACAAACTCCTTGAATAGGGCCCAAATCTCATTCCTCTCCCAGTACCCAGCTCTCAGCCCTGTCTGCCCACAAAACCTCTCGGGAAAGCATTTGCTAAAGGAAAAGAGAAGAGATGTTTGTGTTATACAGTTGACCTCCTCTCTGGGAATTATTTTCCTGTCAGGTAATGAGCCACACAGGATTTATAGTGCAGAAGCAGTGTGCTATGGTAGACAAGGTTTATGGTAGACAAGGTTAAGTGACCTGCATTTGAATCCAGATTCTGACACAGCATGCATGACTTGGACAGTCTACTTTCCTTTTCTGCATCTGTTTCTTTGTAGGTAAAATAGGGATGGTAACGCCAGGCCCATGGGGTTGTTGCAAAGACCTATAAGATAAAACAGGGAAGCTTTGGGCAATGAATGGCAATGCCCCCAGCTCTGTCTGATCTCAAATGCCTTGCCCAGCCAGCTCCCTGATCATTGTTTAACCCACATTCTTGGGAAAGGACTCTGGACAGCTTGGGCTCTTCCTACATATTGATCTCTAAAAGTCCTGAGGCTGTGCCGGAGAGGTCATTCCCAGAGCCAAACTCAGAGATGTCCCTGCAGGGGCATGCAGGACACCCTCTAATGAGATGGCATAATGGGGATGCCACTAAAGGACTGACAGCATAACTGGGTCTATCTGGGAGAAAATTAAGGCTGAGGCTGGGCTGAAGGTAGTGAGTTATCTCAATTGACTGTTCAGTCAGTTACAGATCAAACTCTGTTCTCTCTCCCCAATTGCCAGTGCTGCCAAGGAAGGAAGGAAGGAAGGAAGGGAGGGAGAGAGGGAGGGAGGGAGGGAGGGAGGGGGAGGGGAGGAAAGACAAAACCAGAAAACATTAAGGCTGTGGGGAGGGGAGGGGAGGGGAGGGGAGCAAAACAAAAGAAAAGAAAAAATTAAGGCTGAGGTTCCAAAGCATGCACTGGGTCTGATGCACTGCTGGGTCCCCTGAACACAGTACAGGCCTTAGGACACCCAGGGTATGTAACCTCTGACTGCACAAATGCTAACAGACTTTGGTCTTCTCAAGAGGCTCCTTCTTGCATCTATGCTTGTCCTTAAGCTGGTGCCACATACTGGACTATGCCCTGTGTTCAGTAGCCTGGCCCAAGAGGTTCTTTATAGTTTGACCTCATTCACCACCTCTCACCGTGCAACCTGCTATAGCATGAGACTGGTTCCTGAACTTCATGGTGTTCTCAAGCCTCTAACGCCTTTGCTCATACCATTTCTTCCAATTGTTCTGTGTGGAAAGCTCACCCACCTTTTTCAGATTGGCAAACTCCTACTCATTTTTCAAGGTTCAGACTAAATTTGCACTTCCTGTCCCAAATCTTTCCCTAGTTCCCTTGGCAGAGTTGCATGCCTGCTCTTCAGAACTCCAACTGCACCACGTTCCTCTGTAACCTCATTCAATCATTGCTGGTTTTATATATGTCTTACCTCTAAGTTGGTGACTCTGGAACTGTGGCTGAGGTGAATTCCTGATATTTTTGCCAACCAGCTTTCATCTATTCATCCTACTTCTGGGAACAGTGCCCTAAATTTCCTCTGGGACACCATCCCACCCCTGCTGTAAGCCCTGTTATTTTAGACCATCCGTTTCCAGACCACTGGGGTTGATGCAGGGATGGCCACAGGACCCAATTTAGACTGATGTCCACCAGGCTCAGGACTTTCAGTCATACTGTTAGAAGAAGAGAAATTCTCTTGGCTGGACTTGAACTCAGGAGGGCATTAGCCTGGAGCTGCTGACCATCACTGCAACTTCCAAATGAGCCAGCCCCGCAGGTGTAAAGATGGAAATGAAGCAAAGTCTAAGTGACACTGTTTAAGCCCCTGGATCACACAGCTTTTGGACTTCTCAGTTATGTGGCTCAACCTTTTCCCTTTGGCTTAAATCAGTTTGAGCAGGGAGTTTCTATCTTACAGCCCCAAGAGGCCTGATGCAGGATGGTGGTGTTTCCTTGGCCCTGGCCACCTGGTTTTCTATGAGAACAATTCATTGATTCAGCTCTAGAAGGATGGGAACCTACTGGAAAAGACCCCAACATGAACAGGATTCTCAGAAAGCAGGCAGGACCTGGCTTGGATCATCCATCAGCTCAGACAACAGAGACTCCAAGGCAGTCTCTCCTCTTGAGCCCTCAGGAATGGTCAACTGCAACCAGCTACCTTAAGTGTAGGGGAAACAAAATCCAGAAAGGTTAAGTGACTTGCCCCAAATGACTCAGCTAACATGCTGTCATCAGTTCCACCTGATCTCAGAATCCGCACTCTTTTCACTAGACCGGATAAGGCACTAGTAGCTGCTGGGTCACGGAGAGGGAAACGGGGCCTTCTAGGGGAACAAAGCAAGCCACAGTCACTGCTAAAGCCAACCAAATCTTTATTAGTCTCTGCAGCAGAACTAATGGAGCCCCCATTTACAGGGAGCTTTAGTGGGCTAGTCTGGCTACCAGGCAGGGATGTTAGCATTTCTATTGGTGATTGGGATAGAAAGGGGGAAGAGACTGGAAGGGGACCAAAGGGGGAGACTGCTGGACCACCTCAGGGCAGGCACAGATGGGGCTTCCTGGGCTGGTGTAAAGGTGGATCAGGCCCCAGAGAAGAACACTGCCATCTCCCTCAGAATGAAGGATGAGACAAAGCCTGAGAGGGTGACAGTCACAGCTACAAAAAGGGGGCCGAGCTCCTGGTATGAGAGCCATTTCCGGACGGAGGCAGTTTTCTGGGGCTAGAAGTCTCAAATAGAACTCACCTGTTCCCCAACGAGGGGCCCCAAGGTTCAGCTCAATTATTATCATGGGTACCAGCCAGGAAGCTGGTTGTGGGCAGGGGTGTTTTGGGTATGGACATATGTCAATATTCACAAAACAGGCAATATATTATAGATGCAATCATGAAACTTCCCTCCAGGGAACGTTCACATCTCCCCTTTCACCCAGGAAGCTCCTTATCTAGAAGGCCCACCATGGTCTGATCCTGGCCTCCACCCCAGGCCAGATGAACTCCCATTTAATTCCTTGGACATGCCATGACGTTCACGGCTCTGCACACCTGCCAATAACTGTTCTTCCAGCCTACCTGCCTTGCTCTCTGCCCCACCTGTCCCTGTCAAAGGACTGATAACTCTGCAGCTTTGTCAAGTTCTTGTTTACTCCTGTTCTCCCCACCAGGCCTCGAGCTCCCTGACGAGAGAGCAGAGAGCCCGATTCATGTCGTGTCTACGGAACTCGAAGCCAAATGAAGTCGTATTTGCTGTGCCCTGGTCTGTTTAGAGGAAATGTATCCATAAATGCCTATAACAGATTTGGGGGTGTCTGGCAGTAGATGTGAAGACTTCAAGCGACATTTGTACCTGGGATGATAGCTTCTTCCCATGTGGGGAGTGAGGGTAGGGAGTGGGGGGAATGGTCCAAACCCGGAAGGAGCTAATGGAGAGGAGAGGGCCAAAGTGGGACAGGGCTTGGATGGTAGAGAGCGGGGTCCAGGAGGAAGAAAAGTCTAGCAGTCCAAGCGCAGGGGCCAGTGCTGCAGGTCCCAGGGCTCAGAACCAGCAGGGCGACCACATGAGCGAGCCAAGCGCCGCCCCAGTGGCGGCTCCCGCAAGCATGCCCATGGCCAGAGGGGCGCCGGTGCTGTAGCAGGGATCCTCCCGCACTATCACGTGCGTCACGCCGGGGCCTGCAGAGTGAGACAGCCCATGAGGGTCAGCGACTTAGGAGGGAGTAGAGTGATCTTCGCACCCTTCCTGCATCACTGCAGCCCAACCCAGTGTAAGGCGCCGAGCCCACTCTTCTGCTCCCCAGTCAAAGGAACAGATCTAGACGCAGGAAGAGCTCCACTTCACGGCTCCCAGGCCTTGGATCTGCTGCGGATGTCCCGGAACCTACGGGTCCACTACGGCAGGCTAGGGCGGAGCAGCGAAGAAACCCTGAGATCGCTAAACACAACCATCAGGCACCTAACGGTTCCCAACCGCCAGGCGTTCCCAACCGCCAGGCCCCAGAGCTGGGAGGAGGCAGCCGTTCCCGCAGTAGCCACCAGGGGCCGCTACCGGCTCAGGAATGGGTACTGCCGACCGTAGGGCTGAGAAGCCAGTCTGGAGGGGTGAGGTCAGCTCGGGACGAACACTGGTCTCAGGGCTCTCCCAGTCTCAGGATGGAGAGGGGCTTGCAGAGGGTTCTACCTGGGAAAATCCGTGCACGCTAAAAGGATGAAGCCTGGTCCAAAACTGACGGACCGTGGACTGGGCCCAGCGCTGAATCGGCGCGGGATCAAGGCAAGCCCCGGGGCACGCTGGAGACTTACCTGCGTAGGGCGGTCCGTAGTAGCTGCGGACATACGTGGCTTCATGTGCGTTGGGGGGCACCACCTCGTAGTAGTCTTGGTACGGGCTGTAGACACGCACCTGGGGAATCCAGCCACGTCAGGTGCCCAGGAACTCCCTGGCCTGGGTTTGGTCCCCTACCCACACGCCGGGCTCAGGCCTCTCTGGGATGCATGGAGCCGCCTCCCCAAGTTTAGAAATGGGCCTCCAGCCACTAGGAAGCTATTGGAGAAAGGCCCTGCCTTCCCCACAAGGTCCACGGTCCTTGTCCTCTAAAACTTCCGCCCTACATCCAGCTCCCAGTGACGCCCATTCTCCTACTCTGGCCTCCCATCTAGCTCAAAAAATTCTCTATGGCTCCCAACTTCTCCTCATAGATAGTCTAATATTCGCTAGCAGCTCTACAATGATGCCACTTGGAAAGACCCAGTTCTACTAGTCACAAGGAGGGGAACATGGCTAAGCCCCAACCCAGGAAATAAACAGGGGTTGGAGAGGAAGAAGGGAAAGGAAGGATAGGGATGGGAAGTAACTAAAATACAGTTAAGCATCTTTTAAACAACAGGGATACAGTCTAAGAAATGTGTCCTTAGGCAATTTTAGTATGTGAATATCATAGAGTGTACTTACACAAACCTAGATGGCACACACCTAGAGTATGTGGTATATCCTATTGCTCCTAGCCTACAAACCTGTTCAGCAGGCTACTGCCCTGAATACTGTAGGCAAGTGTAACACATTGGTAAGTATTTGTTATCTAACTAATCATATATAAACGTAGAAAATGTAATGCATTGCCCTATGACATTATGATGGCTACAACATCACTAGGTGATAGGAAATTTTCAGCTCCATTACAGTCTTATGGAACCACCATCGTATATGTGGTCCATCACTGACCCAAAATTGTTAGGCTGCACTAGACTGTAACGATTATTGAGCACCTACTATGTACCAGGTCCTGAAGGAAGTAATCAAATGTGTTACTGCCTCTAATCCTTAAAGCAGTTATTAGCTCCACATGACCGTAGGGTAGGGGACTGAGGCTCAGAGAATGGTCAGTGTTCTCCCTGGAATGCACTCCCTGCCCTCCCCTCTCTCCCATTAGATTTCTGCCAACCCTTCAAAGCCTAGCTTAACGGTCACCCACTCCACTCCAGGAAACTCTCCTGGTCTCAGGAAGAATGATTTTTTCTTCCCCTGAAATCTCTGGAACTTGCTTGTGCCTCTTGTTGCTATCCTTTCTCCTGGCCTTTCTTGCAGCCCAAATGTGAGCTGCTTATAGGCAAGGACTCTGATTTGTTTGTGTCACCGGCAGGGCCTAGTGCATATCAGGAACCAAGAACTATGTGCTGAATTAAATGGAAGCTCCAAACCCCTCATTTTACCCATGGGGGAGCAGACCTGGAGAGGAGTCAGGATCCCCTTCTCTTCTGGATCTTTCCACTTAGCCTCCCTCCACCCTGTGTCTCTCTCTAACTGGGATTCACACCTGAACAGTCCAGCTCCCCTTAGAAGTCCAGGTGTCTCAGACACCACTCATCTCAAGGTGATTGCAGCATTTCTCCATCTGCTAAAACTGTTGCTCTTCCCATAAATCCATTTTTCTTTTTTTTTTTTTTCTGAGACAGAGTTTCATTTTTGTTGTCTAGGCTGGAGTGCAATGACACTGTATCAGCTCACTGCAACCTCTACCTCCTGGATTCAAGCAATTCTCCTGCCTCAGCCTCCCAGGTAACTGAGATTACAAGTTCCTGCCACCACGACTGGCTAATTTTTTTGTATTTTTAGTAGAGACAGGGTTTCACCATGTTGGCCAGGCTGGTCTTGAACTCCTGACCTCAGGTGATCTGCCTGCCTCAGCCTCCCAAAGTACCCAGCCCCATAAATGCTTCTCTCAATACATGCCATCACCATGCACTCAAATCAAGAAAGGCTAGGCACAGTGGCTTACGCCTGTAATCCCAGCACTTTGGGAGGCCGAGGCGGGAGGATTGCTTGAATGCAGGAGTTCAAGACCAGTCTGGGCAACATCGCAAACACATGGCTCTACAAAAAATTAAAAAATTAGCTGAGTGTGGTGATGCATGCCCGTGGACCCAGCTATTCGGGAAACTGAGGCAGAAGGCTCCTTTGAGCCCAGGAGGTAGAGGCTGCAGTGAGCAGTGTTTGCACGACTGCACTCCAGCCTCGGCAACAGAGGGAGATCCTGTCTCAAAAAAAAAAAAAAAAAAAAAGGAGAAAGAAGGAAAGAAAGCAGGTTGTTGCCCTTGTCTTGTCTTCACACATTCACTTTCCACACAACAGCCAACAGTTCTCGTGATTTTATCTTCTAAATATGTTCTTCTGTCCATTCTTTTGGTCAATTCCAAGAGAATAGGCCACTGGTTTTAGCAACTTGGAAGTTGTGAGTGACCTTGAAAAAACTTTTCAGAGGAGTTGCTGAGTAGGAAAAGCCAAGTTATGGAGGGTTGAAGAAAGGCTGAGAGGTGAAGGATGCAATCCCCATGTCATGACATCTCTTTCAAGAAGTTTGGTGGTAAGGGGAAGGTCTCCAAGCACACCTTGTGATTTCAAGTCTCCATGCCATTTTCCTTTGATAGGGATGAGCTTCTCACCTCATTCAACTACCCAAGCTGTCTTCCAGATTCAACTCAATCATCACTCTCCCTGAACCTCAGGTTCTGTTGGGGCCCCATCTGGATACCCACAGCCCTTGGATGTCCCTGCATTACAGCACCGATCATGCTGTCTTCCCGTTGTGTCCCTGTGTCTCTCCCATCAGATCTGGAGACGCCTGTGAGGGCAGAGACTGGGTCTAATCAGATCTGACTAGAATGTGGCAGGTACCTAATGTTTATTGAACTCATTCCAGTGAATCAAATACAGGGCCAGATTGGAACTAAGGTTGCCCAACTCTGAGTTCAGTTTCAAGTCAGGGAAAACAAATAGTCCCAAGACAATGCAAGAGGCTCAGACGAGCAATGCTGTAGGTCAGTGAACTCTCCGGTGCTCCCTCCCCATCAGTGATCCAATACAGATTTCTGGTAGGCAGTGCCAGAATCCGGGCTCCAGGCCCAAAAGGGGCTAGAGGGATTTAAGCACTCAGGTCCAATTTTATTGGTGGGGAAGTTGAGATCCAGAGCCTCCACCTTGCCCTGCTGCTACGCAGTAAGCCAGTGGCCTTGGGAGGCCCTGGAGAGGGTGGAGCACCCCATGTCCCTCTAGGGCACCTGTTTTTACTCTCCAGGTCTGGGAGGCCCAGAAGTAAACTCCTGTAAGTCACCTGGCAACAAGTAGGGACAGCCCAGAGACCCATGGGCAGAACCTGAGGGTTTGAACCTGCCTCTCCCTCTCCAGAGGCCCAGCTACTTTGTGGGTACAACCAGTGTTGACCAATCAGGGGGTCACATGCAAATGACTCCCCTTAGCCGAGCTGTTGTGTTATTAGGTTTACAGTCTGTTAAATCCTAGTTTTTGGCTTCCCCACTTTAAACAAACTTGTATTCTAGTTTGGGCATGGAGAATACCTCAGAACGATGGGCTGGGAGTCCCAGACCTGCCACTGATGAGTTGAGTGATCTTGATCAAGTTAGGTAACCTCTCCAAGCCTCTGAGGATCTAACAGTGCCACATCTATACAACTTGGTGGCCCAAGCACTTCTAGGCTTAGTGATTCTGCATATCAGAGTCATCAGGAGACTTTTTTTTTTTTTTGAGATGGAGTCTTGCTTTGTTGCCCAGGCTGGAGTGCAGTGGTGCAGTGGGGCAATCTTGGCTCACTGCAACCACCTCCACCTCTTGAGTTCAAGCCATTCTCCTGCCTCAGCCTCCCGAGTATCTGGGATTACAGGCACCCACCACCACATCTTGCTAATTTTTGTACTTTTAGTAGAGACAGAATTTCACCATGTTGGCTAGGCTGGTCTCGAACTCCTGACCTCAAGAGATCCGCCCACCTTAGCCTCAAAATGCTGGGATCACAGGCGTCAGCCACCAGGCCCGGTCAGGAGACAGGTTTAAACTACAGGTTTCCTAGGCCTAGGCCCCATGCCAGATTAGAACATCCAGAGGTAGAACTTCTTGTTAGTGCTTGTAAGTTCCTAAGCAATCCTGATACATAGCCACACTGAGCACCACTGTGTAAGAAGAGCTCAGAGTTGACTGTAAGATCACAGGTACTCTCACTCAAGACCCCTCCCGCCACCCACCCCATGCCAGGCCCTGTGCTGAGCACTGGGGACAGAGAAAAGATTCAGGCTCAGATCCTGCCTTCAAGAAACACCCAGGTTGAGGGGAGACAGATCTAGACTAAATTATTTGACTATGTAGTAGTATTGCTATAACAGAGGTTTTTCACTCCCTCCTTCCTTCCTTTGCTCACTCAGTGAACATTCCCTGAGCCCCACTGTGTGAGAATGGTCAGCACAGACTCCCCATCACCGAGCACTAAGTGAGCATGTGCCATTTGCCTAGCCTTGTGCCAAGCTCCATAGAGGCAGCGCAGTCAGGCCTTGTCCTTGCCTTGGAGGAAGTTCTAGGCCTCATGGAAGACGACACAGACCAGAATAAACCAGTTCTGAAACCAGGCAGAATGAAGAAAGCACTAAGCCTTAGTGCCACTAGGCTGTGGGAGGGAATGACGATGGCTGGTGGTCTAGGAGGTCCCCACCGAGTAGGTGGCAGGCAGCCTCTGAGGTGAGCCTTACAGGACGGGTGTCAGTCTGTCCGGTGAACGAGGAAACTGCAGTCTCACCAGCAGCGGGAACAGCATGTGCGAAGGCTGGCAGAGGGGAAAGGTCTGGTGTGGCTGGGGGCAGAGGGTACAGCAGAGCCGTTGGTTTTTGTCCCGTGGGTGATAGGGAGCCATGGAATGTTTGTCACAGGGAAGGGATGGACTGGGCCTGGTTTTGGAGGCTCATCCTGGTGGCCAGTATGGAGGCAGGGAGGGCTGAGCCAGCACTTACCCAGATCCGCCTCTCAACCTTACAGGGGCTCCACAAGCGGGTCACACACCTGACCTTGGAGCAAACCCGGCGGCTCCTGGGAGGGACGGTTGCTCCAGCTGGGGCCTGCTCAAGCCACAGAAACCCAAGAAGGGGGAGGGAGGGAGGGGGTGTCAGAGGCCCTCTACGCCTAAAGACACTCAGAGCTCTTTCCAGACCCTACCAGAGCCCTCCGCCAGCTGGGTTGTGGCAGGGAGCGTCCTCTTTCTCCTCAGCTCATGGTAACAGGGGAGGCTCAGAGAAGGCTGACGACTGCCAAAGTTACGCAGAAAAGAAGGACAAGTAGTCTCTTTCCAGAATTAGCCCACCTTCCCCTATTTCATGCTGCTGGGGCTCCCAGTCTCCAGGGAGGACAGGGCAACTCCCATCTATCCTCTAGCCTACCTGGTTCGCTTTACCCCAGCCTCGTCCCTAGCTGTGCCCCCAGGCCCTGTGTTCCCAGTAAAGCTGGTGTTAGGGGCTCCTGGAGCGAGGTATGAACTCCAGCATGTCGGAGGACAAAGGGCAGATCATTCCCACACAGGCGACAGAGAGAAACCCATAAACACAGAGGTGAACACACAGAAACAGTCAGACACAGGCACAAACACACCCGACTCAAATTAGCCAGGGCCCAGAGGGATGTGTATATGTGCAGTAGTGGGAGGTAGACTAGAGGCCAGGGCAGAGAGAAGGGACAGCAGAGCCACAGGAGATGGACAGGCAGAGAAGAGCGAGGCCGCTTCATAGAGTCACAGAGTGCAGACGGTCGCCTTTGCTTCCTTCCCTTCGCCTCTCTGTGGTGGAACTGATTCGCCCTACGTAAAGAGGCTTCGGAGCTCCAAGCCAGGGGAGCCCGACCTGGGTCCCTCCACCCTGCAGACTACTGCGGTAGCCTCCTTACTCCCAGCTTCCTCCAATTCACCTGCCACTTGGGAGCCTGAGTCTGCCCCCAAAAATCTGACCACAGCCCTCCCTGTTGAATGCCCTTTATTGCTCCCCTACAGGCCTCAGGGAAAGTCCATTTCCTCCAACTGGACTTTGAGGGCCATCATGAGCTGGCCCTGGTGACCTCAGAGGTCATCTCTCCTGTTTCATTCCCCTCATGAATTGCTCTCCAGCCAGGCAGACTCTGGGCCCTTAGATGCACACGTATGTGCACACGCACTTGTGCACTCACACAGGCACACACCACTTCTCTGTCTCTGCTCATGCAGTTACTTCTGCAGATAATGTCTTCCTCTCAAAATCTCACTGACCTAGGTTCCATGATAGGCTTTTCCACTGACTTAAGACTATAAGCTTTGGACAAGTCACCTCCCGTCTCTGAACCTTGGCTTCCTTATCTGTAAAATGGGACTGATAATGCCAATCCCTACCCAGCTGCCCTGCCAGGGTTATTGGAAGATGAAATGATGTCACTGGTGTCAGGGGCTTAGCATAATGCCTGGCGCTCAGCAGGTGGATGCCTGAGGAGGTTTCTAAATGCATCCAGGTCTCCCCTGCTACTTCCCAATGGACTTTCTCTGTAGGTGAGAGGGGGCTCCATTGTGCCACACAGAGAAAGAGCAAGCACAGATTCTGGAGTCAGGCAGATGGGGGTGGAGGCCAAGCTGGGCCTTGGGCGGCTCTTCAAACCGCCACTTCCATCAGTCACAATCTCTGTTGACTCCAAATCCTAAATACATCCTGTACTCATCAGCCTGTCTCGGCCAGCAAGGCCTTAGTCCAGATCTCCAGTCTGTTGCTGGGACACTGTCTCAGCCTCCTAAGTGGCCTCTGAGTGTCTACAGTTACCCTCTACAATCCATTCCGTACCTACCAGCCAGATTATCTTTTTTTTCCTTTTCTCTATAATAAAATTTCAGTAACTGACAGACTACCTTTTTTTTTTTTTTTAAATGCCCCAACGTTACAACAATTATCTTTTTAAAAATATAAATCGAGCCTGATCTGATCATGCCATCCCTCTGCTCAAAAACTTGTCACGGCTCCCTGGTGCTCTTAGCAGAAACCAATCCTTCATACAGCCCACAAGGCCTGGTCGTGCCAACCCTCCTTCCCCCCTTACCTACTCACTCCCTAAGCACCAGCCACCCTAGCTGTCCTCCTACTCAACTTGCCAACGTCCTAACCTCTCTCAGAGCATTTGCACATGCTGATCCTTTTGCCTGGAATACTGTTCTCTTTACCCCTTCCCCACGCCTTTCACCCAGTCAATTTCTGTTTATCCTTCAGTTCTCGGTTTAAGCCTTGCCTGAACTACCACCTGGATGAAAGGGCCAGACACTGCAAATCTCTGTCAGAGCCGTTATACTGTTGAAATGGCATAATTAATTAGTTGTTCCATGTCTGGCTCCTCACTAGGCTGAGTCCAGGTGGGCAGAGCCCACATCTCCTTGGTTCACCTCTGATCCCTGGCACTTGACACAGCGCCTGGCCCATAGTAGCAGCTCAGTAAATATTTGTTGTGTGGATGAATGAGCTTCAGTCTTATCATCTACAGAGACAGAACAATAACCCCAACCTCACAGGACTGTTGTGAGGAGCAGGTGGAATGATACCTGCACCACACCTGACACATAATAGTTGCTCGATAAAAGACCGTTCCTTTTCCCCAGCTCACGTGCCACTCCCTCCAGCAAGTCTCCATGGAGGCTTCTCTCTCTCCTCTGAGCACCAGTTGGCTGTCCCTTATCCTTTCCCACTTGGGACTCAGGCATCAGAGTTTGCACAAACCTATCCACATGAGACTGAGAACTTCTGGTAGGTGGAGACCGAGTCTGAATCACTCATGATTCCATGGCACACGGAGGTGGTGGGGAAAGGGTGAGAGAACAGGGAACTCACCGGGGTGGAGTTCGCCTCCAGCAGCGCTGTCTTCCATGCTCTGCAAAGCAAATCCCACCAGACCATGAGGAGGGAGTTTGGGGGTAGGTGAATTGGGCTCCCACATTTTAGACTCTCCTCTCCAACCCAGCCCCAGTCTCTCATGAAAGGAGAGATCTCTTGTCTCCCTCAGGAAGACAAAAGTGACCCCTCCCCTGCCCAGTCACATGGATGGAGCACTAAGTTAGGCTAATTCATTCTTCTCATCCCCTCTAGAAGTTCCAGTTTCCTCATCTATACAGTGGATGGTTGGGCTTGGGTCGTCTCTCAGGGGATGTCAGAATCTGACACTCCTGGGTGGGTGCTCTAGCCACAGCCCCCCTCCACATCCCAAATCTACAAACAAAACAGTTCCCCAAAGCTCTGACCCCAGAGCTCCAGGAAGGCCCAGCAGACACGGGACAATTGGGCCTTTGTTGGTTGCCATGGCACCTGGCTGGGTTGGACAAGGCGGCTCTGTGCTGTCTGCCTGGAGCTCAGCTTCCCCCACTCCCACACACCCATCTCTTTCACTCTCCTCCAGCGCAAAGGCCATGCACCCCTCAGCCAGAGGGTAGGAAGGGACGGAATGTGAGCGAGCGGATGGCGCCTGCAGAGGACACACCCAGGCTGGCCGCATGGATATGCATCTGACATTGGGGTGCCCCTGCCTGGGATGCAGCTGACTGCCTTTGTAGGCAGGTCCGGGGCTACCCCTCAGACCAGAGTCCCCCACCAGGGCATCTTCTAAGAAGACAGCAAGGGTGCCACTAGGCTGCTCTGCTGCTTTGCATCACCCTCAGGTGAGGGCTCACCTCAGAGGCTGCTAAAGACCAGGAACCAGACACCCGAGGCAGGTGTGCACACCTCCCCCTCGGCAATCCTGAGTTCACCGTAGACCACATGAGGAGTTCACTGTGTGCCAGGCCAGTCACCATGGGCCCTTCAAATCCACTCTACCCACCTCCAATGAGATACCCTTGCTGACTGGCCTTAGTGCCCTCTTCCTACGGTCAGAGAACCAGAAGGCCCAATGAGAAGGGGGCACGTGGTAACTTTCCCCAAGATTCCACCCCATCCTCTCCTGGGAGTGACTCACAGGGCATCATCCCTGGTCTCCGCACAGAGGTGCAGGCGGCCGCCTTCCCGTAGGTTCACAGTTAGCAGGCCATCTCGGCTCCGGCCCTCTGGGGGCTGCACATCTGGAAGCAGACAAATATGGGTTTCCACAGGCGCAAGCCCCAGGTCCCCCCAGTAAACCAGGAATAGGAATAGGAATTGACTTCTTTGGGCTCTGTTTACTGGCCACTGCCAACCTCCTCTGATCCCATATACTCTCTGAGGGATTCTACTCTACGCTTCTAACCTTTCCAACCTTTCCAACCTTTCCATGCTGACGCTTCCCTCAGCACACCTCCCAGTTACCCGGTTAGAACTGTGGCCTGGGCCTTGGTGGAGGAATGTGGAGATTTGCTGTGACCCTGGGCCACTTCGCTTCTCTGGGCCTCCTAATTTCATTTCATCTTCATCCAGTACCGAGCGCCTGGAGGGCAGGAACTGTGCCTGGCTCACCTCTGAGACACAGCACAGAGGAGAAAGGCACTAAAGGACTGATTTCCTTTTCTTTTTTTTTTTTTTTTGAGACAGGGTCTAGCTCTGTCCCCCAGGCTGTAGTACAGTGCCATAAACACTCTGCAACCTCTGCCACCTAGGCTCAAGCAATCCTCCCACGTGAGCCTCTTAAGTAGCTGGGACTACAGGCACACACTACCACACCTGGCTAATTTTTGTTTGTTTTTGTTTTGGTAGAGACGGGGTTTTGCCATGTTGCCCAGGCTGGTCTTGAACTCTAGACTCAAGTAATCTACATGCCTCAGCCTCTCAAAGTACTGGGATCATAGCTTACTGCAGCCTTGAATTCCTGGGCTCAAGCAATTCTCCTGCCTCGGCCTCCCCAGTAGCCATATGCGACCACATCTCACCAATTTTTTTTTTTTTTAGAGACAGGGTCTCACTATGTTGCCCGGGCTGGTCTAGAACTCCTGGCCTCAAGTGATCCTCCCACTTCAGCCACCCAAAGTGCTGAAATTATAGGCATGAGCCACCACACACAGCCAAGGACCTATTTCTTAACTCACACCAAACTGAATTGGAGTTCACAGAGGCTCAGAAGCAATGTCTGTGAAATGCCTCTGAAAGCTGCAAAGAGGCTTCCAACAGCAGGTGTTCTCAGAGACAGTGGGAGGGCTCTGCCCACAGTCACGGTGCCACAGAGGAAGGGGCTTCTGCTCACCATGGCACTCTTGGCCGATCTTTATGTCACGGACATTGAAGTGGATGAGCACACGGTCCTCCTCGTCCTGAGCTGTCTCATCGTGGTAGTATCCCAGGGTCCCGTCCAGCCACAGGGCAAACCAGTTCCGCTTCCAGCGGCGGAGGATGGAGCCTGTACAATATTCCAGATGCACTAGGCAGGCCGATCCCAGAGCCTGCTGGGGATAGGAGCCCCAGACAGACTCCCAAGTCCCTTCAGCCTCAGTCCCTAGTGTTATAACCACCTTTTTCTTGTCTATCTACCCCCTGAAATGAGGGCAGGACCTCTTTCTGTCTTCTCTCTGTCTTGTTCACCTCCTGCCTCCCATTGGGTCTGACGCATAGTAGAAGCTCGAGTCATACATGTGCTGAACAGGGAAATGAGTGACTGGGCCCATTACTTGGAAGCTGCTAAGGCCACGTCCCAGGTCTCTTCAAGGGCAAAGACCTCTCCCTACCTTGAGACTCTATCTTCTCTCTCTCTCTCTCATTTTTCACTTTGTTCTGTACCTCATTCTGTGTCCAGCCCAGGGCTGGGGGACTGTGGACACACAGAGGGTCAAACCCAGCCCCCCTGGGGTTAGGGGACTGTGGATACACAGAGGGTCAAACCCAGCCCCCTGTCCTTGAGGAGCTCACAGACTGGGACCAGTCTGGGGTCAGGGAGTGGGGAGACCCACAGATAAAGACAGTTCTGTTCTAAGGAGATCACCGTAAGACGCCGTGAAAACCAAGGAAGGAGCCTCTAATCCAGCTTGACGCTATCGCAGCGGCAGGGGTGGGGGCCAGAGGAAAAGCCAGAGAAGTCTCCTCAGACAGAGGCCCATCTGAGATGGGTCGTGAGGAACAAGTAGAAGTTTAAACCACGTAGTCGGGAATGGGAAGGACCTTCAGGCAGAGGGAAGAGTGTGGACAAACGAGGGAAGGATGAAAAGGTCCTGGCTTCTTGGGAGAAGGGTTCCCTGTGGCAAGCCCAGTAAGCCACTTCCCTTACCCTGCCCCAGGACCAGGGGCCCAGGATCACTCACTCTGTCTCCACAGCCAGCCGCCCCTCACCAGGGCCATTTCTTCAAAAGGACTTTCCAGGGCGGAGTCAGGCGGGATCTGTCAGAGGAGCCACAGGAGACACAGGCCTCAGCAGCAACTCCCTGGAGAGAAGCCCCCAGCCCTGCCGTCCCCGGGGAGCCACCCAGGAAATGTTGGAGGGAGGGTTAGTAAACAAACAAGGGCCAGGCAGCCTCGGCCTCCTCCCCATTCTTTGCTTAGGAAGAGAATGGGAGCACTGTCACTGTGGGGTCAGCAGGGCAGCCGTTGGTGTGGGGTTGGGGGTGGGGACCAGGAGCCTGGATTCCAGCCTCAGCTTCATAACTTTGGCCACATCCCTCCTCCCCAGCCCTCTGTCCTGGTCTGTTTCTAAATCTGTAGAAGTGTGTCTGCAAGGCAGGCAGAAGCTGGAGGGAGGAGCTGGCTAGCTCAGTCAGTGGAGCATGAGACTCTTAAAGTATTAGAAACCTTGGGATTCTGTAATGTGGAAGTGCAGAATATTAGAATCACGGCAGTGGAAAGGCTCCCTCCCATTTGGACCCCACTAGAGCTGTTTACAAAGTGCTTAACAGAGGAGTTCAACAGCAGCTGTGATGGACCGAGCACTCTGTCTGGGTACCCCCTCTCAGTGCTTTCATCCATTATCTCATTTAAGCCTCCCTGCAGTCCTTATTATTCCTATTTCAGAGATGGGGAAAAGGGGGCTGGAGAGGTCCAGTCAGTTGCACGGGGCCACTTGATCAGTAAGCAATGGAGCCCAGACTCACACCCAGCAGTCCTGGCTTCAAACCGTTATGCCAGCAGGAGCTTTGAGAACTTCCAATGCCAGGCCACACTCCGTAACAATTAAATCAGAATGTCTGAGGGCAGGAGGCAAGCCCTGGTACTCTTCAAAGATCCTCAGATGATTCCAATGTACAGCTAAGTTTGGACGTCACCGAACATACTACTCCCTCCCCTTGTCCCCATTATAACCCTGTTAGGAAGGGAATCTTTACTTCTATATTACAGATGGACAAACTGAGGGTCCGCAAATGACTCATCCATTTATGTGATGGAGCTTGCACTGGAATCCAGGTAGGTGCCTTCTGTTCCTGAGGGCGACTCACTTGCCAGCGGGTGCCTCCGCCCCTCCCCCACCTGCTCACACCTGTTGCTGCGTAACAAGGGCTGGCACACCTGGGCTGGAAGGCCCGGCCTTGTCCTCTTGCCACTGCCTCCCTTCTCCACGATCTTGACACAGATCAGACAAGAGGGCCAGGTGCAGACTCCTTTTCCAGCCCTCCCCTTGATGCACCCACCTTGTCTACACCTGTTGCGGATGTTGCTGCCAAACCGGCCGCTACTCGATGCTGCTGCCACCCAACCCGCTGCGCCTGCGCTTTGTGCGCCCGGGAGAGCCAGGGGCATTTCTCTCCTCCGGCAGCGCCTGGGAGCCCAGTTGCCCCCCGGGCCCCGCCCTCCGGACCTGCCCACCCCCAGGGAGGGGGCGTGACGTGAGAGATGCTGACCCGAGGCATGCTGGGACTTGTAGTCTACCCCTCTAGAGCAGCCTCGCCTGCAATTTTACTTTTCTATTAAGACATTTGTTCACTCATTTATCATGAAATACTTTTTCTTAAGAATCAGTGAACTCAGTTCCTAGAAAAAAAGAAAAAGTAAAGTTGCAAGGAGAAGCCAGGCTCCTAGTTTTGCATGTTTTTTTTGATGCTTCCCCTTTCCATCCTCAGCTTCCAGTCTAGTGAGGGAGATTACATGGAAACACACAATTGGATCACAGCGTGTGATTTAACAATGGAAAAGATGAGCCTAACTTTTCCCAATGGGTTCAGGAAGGCTTCCCAGAGGAGACCGAAAGGGGCATTGGAGGATGAGTGGCAGTTTCCTAGGGCGACCCGAAAGGTCCCCTATGAATACTGTCAGGATGTTGAAGAGAGCCCAGCATTTCCGTGTGTCTAGAACATAGAGCGCAGGGGTGGGGAGCGCATGGGGAGTGGCAGGCGATAGAGCTGCAGGGTTTGCAAAGAAATAGCACAGAGGCCTTGCACGACAGGCGGAGAGCTTGGATGTTAGGACGCAGTGACTGGAGCTGGGGGTGGGAGTTTCAAGATGAGGAGGGAGGTGTGTGATTAGGGGGTCGTAAAGGCCCCTCTAGGGCACAGTAAAGAATGGATTGGAGGGGGCCCACCTGGAGAAGGAAGACTTTCTGTATCTCACCTCGGACTGTGATCATTTCCTTCAATAGCTCAGCCCCGCAAACCCTCACCTACCAGGAGCCACAGGATGTCATTCAGAGACCGGAGGCTGTCAGGGCCTAAAAGACTTCTGTCCCGTTCCCTGTGTGACAAGCGTGCCCACCCTGACCTGGGCCCTTCCTCCTGTCCCAGAGAACTCTTCCTTACCGGGGCTGCAGGGCTCATGGTTCCTGGGCGGCAAGGGCAGCATTTCCCAGAAGGCTCCCGTAGCGGGGCATTTCCCTGAGCGCCTTAGAGATAAGGGGATCAGGAAGGTGCTACCAAGTGGGAGGCTGGAGGGGGGAGGCAAGGAGGGAGTGCACAGACAGATCCCAAGGAAGGTCGCCCTCTTTTTCTAGGCTCCTCTCAGCCTTTCCAACTGATGGCTCTGACCCTAGGTTCACTGGTCATCCCTGGTTCAGAAGTGGTCTTGGCTCAGCTTCGCGGAGGTTCCTGGGGTGGGATGGGGTCGAGGTTGCGGGGAAGGACAGGAACGGGGCCGGTAGTACTCCCTAGGTTGGGGGCGGGGCTACATCTTCATTTTCCGGCCTGGCAGGACAGCGCCCATCACCCCAGTCCTGGCTGCGCAGTCTGGCTCTTTAAGCCTTCCTCTCTTGCTCCTGAGTCTCTGTAATCCTGACCTCGAGCTACCCGCGCGCTTCGGCCCTTTGTGCCGTGCGTGCCCTGCTGAGGGATTCGCCATGGCCAATCCTATTAACCACTGAGCTCATCCCCTCTTAGCCGACCCAAGAACCAGCTCTCCCAAACCGCGTTTTCATCTCTGTGCCTTTCACTCACTCTCTGGCTCCTGGAACGTCCCAGCCCCAGCTTGTCCTAGCTAAATTTTCCACCTCCACAGGAGAAGGAAGAAAGGAAGGAGTGGGAGGGGGAAAGAGGGAAGGAAAGAGATATGGAAGGAAGGAAACAGAGAAGGAGGAAAGAAGGCAGGGGAAAGGGGAAGGCAGGCAGGCAGGGCTGCAGCTGGCCTCAGAGGATCTGCACCTGGGTCCTGCCCCGACCCAGCCTCTCTCCAGCTCTCCCTGCTCCCCTCCCCAATGGGCAGTGGGGCATCCTTCATGTCAGGGGGCGGGGATGGTGCAATCATCTCCTAGATTTCATTCTCCGGATTTAGCAACCAGATGAAAAAGGAAGATTCTCCAGCAGCAGTGGAGACTTCAGGGGAAGACTCTTCCCCCCACCTCCCAAAGAGCGGGCACTATGACAAGAAAAAGGAGAAAGGACGTGGCAAACTAAAACCAGACACCACTACGGAATCCAAATGTAGCCGGACTTGGCCCATGTCTCTAAATGTTGGTCAGTGACCCTCTTTGAGAAACCAATAAAAAAGTGTAGGCTCTCCTCAGGAAAAAGTCTGCATATCATTCCTGGGAGTTCATAGACCTCTGAAGCCATGATAGTCATGGTTGGATTGTTTTTAATCTCCAGAGCTGTGTAGATGGGAGGAGAGTGTGAATTGACCAGTGAGAGGTATGACAGTATGTCAGCAATTCCAGCCGCAGCAGTCCTGGCTGTGAGACTTTATCTGTTTGTTTAATCAGCTAAAACTTATTGAGACTAATAAGCCAACAAATAACTTTTACATTTCTTTATGGCTGTGGTGCACAGAACCATTGGCAGAGAGGAAAAGATTTTGCCATTTCAAGTGTCCCTGGTGAAAGAACAGCCCACAGATTATACATTGTTTAGGAAATAATGGACTGGCTCATCAAATTCAAATTTACTACTTACATTTTCTAGAGAGTATAATATAATGAGAATAAGGTATATTATCTTTATTTAAAAAAACGACGTTTTTATCAAGATGCAATTTGAGCAAAAGTAAAAGTGCTTATGAAAATATTTTAAAATGATAATTTTAGTGAGATATAATTCACCTACCATAAAATTCACCCTTTTAAAGTATCAAATTCAGTGTTTTTTGTTTTTTGTTTTTTTTTAGACAGAGTCTTGCCCTGTCACCAGGCTGGAGTGCAGTGGCAAGTTCTCAGCTCACTGCAAACTCCACCTCCCAGGTTCAAGTGATTCTCTTGCCTCAGCCTCCTGAGTAGCTGGGACTACAAGCGTGCGCCACCACGCCCAGCTAGTTTTTATATTTTTAGAGACGGGTTTTCACCATGTTGACCAGGATGGTCTCAATCTCTTGATCTCGTAATTCACCTGTCTTGGCCTCCCAAAGTGCTGGGATTACAGGCGTGAGTCACCGCGCCCGGCCTTCAGAGCATTTTTATCACCCCAAAAAGAAACCCCAGGCCAGACATGGTAGCTCACGCCTGTAATTCCAGCACTTTGGGAGGCCAAGCGGGGGGTGGATCACCTGAGGTCAGGAGTTTGAGACCAACCTGGCCAACATGGTGAAACCCTGTCTCTACTAAAAATGCAAAAATTAGCCATGCATGATGGCGCATGCCTGTAATCTTAGCTATTCGGGAGGCTGAGGCAGGAGAATCGCTTGAACCCAAGAAGCGAAGGTTACAGTGAGCCAAGATCATACCATTGTACTCCAAGCCTGGCGACAGAGCGAGTCTCTGTCTCAAAAGAAAAGAAAAGAAAAGAAAAGAAAAGAAAAGAAAAGAAAAGAAAAGAAAAGAAACCCTATAGTCTTTAGCAGTCACTCCCAATCTGCCTTCTCCCCAGCCCCTGGCAAAACTAATCTGCTTCCTTTCTGTACGGATTTGCCTATTCTGGCCATTTCATATAAATGGAATCAGGGGCCAGGCACAGTTGGCTCAAACCTATAATCCTAGTGCTTTGGGAGGTGAAGGCAGGAGGATCTCTTGAGGCCAGGAGTTTGAGGTTATAGTGAGCTGTTACTGTACTGCTGTACTCCAGACTGGGTGACAGAGTGAGACCCCGTTTCTAAATAAATAGTTTTAAAAAATAAATGGACTCATCCAGCGTGCAACCTTTTGTGACTGGCTTCTTTCACTTAGCATAATGTTTTCAAAGTTCATCCAGGTTGTAGCATGTTATCAGTATTTCATTCCTTGTTTTTTTTGTTTTTTTTTTGAGACAAAGTCTTACTCTGTCACCCAGGCTGGAGTGCAGTGGTGAGATCTCAGCTTACTGTAGCCTCAACCTCCCAGGCTCAGGCTCAAGCAATCCTCCCACCTCAGCCTCCCAAGTAGCTCAGACTACAGGCACATGCTACCATGCCTGGCTAATTTTTGTATTTTTGATAGAGACAGAGTCTTGCTGTGTTGCCCAGGCTTGTCTCCAACTCCTAGGCTCCAGCAGCCCTCCTTCCTTAGCTTCCCAAAGTGCTAGGATTACAGGCGTGAGCCACTGCGCCCGGCCCATTCCTTCTTATTGATGAATAATATTCTATTTTATGGATATATCGTGTTTTATTTATCTGTTCATTTGCTGATAGACATTTGGGTGATTTCTACTCTTTGGCTATTATAATACTGCTGTGAACATTTGTGTACACATTTTTCTGTGGACATATATATGCTTTATTTTTTCTTGGGTGTGAAATTTCTGGATCATATGGTAACTCTACGTTTAACATTTTGAGGAACTGTCAAATTATTTTCCAAAGTGATTGCACCATTTTACACTCCCATCAACAACCTCTAAGAGTTCCGATATTTCCATGTCCTAGCCAACACTTGTTATTGTCTGTCTTAAGTATTCTCTCATTATGGTTTTTATTTGCATTGCCCTAATGACCAATGATGTTGGTCATCTTTTCATGTGCTTATTAGACATTTGTATACCTTCTTTGGGGAAATGTTTATTCTAATCTTTTGTCCATTTTTTAATTGGGTTATTTGGCTTTTGTTGTTGAGATGTAAAAAGTTTTTAAAACTAATACAGTAATTTTCTAACTTATTTTTAAGGCTAAGGTGTGGTGGCATGCACCTGTGGTCCCAACTATGAAGGAGGCTGAGGTGGTAGGATCACTTGAGCTTGGAAAATGGAGTGCACCACTGCACTCCAGCCAGGAAGTGTAATGGTTAGTTTTATGTGTTAACCTGACTAGGCTACCATCCCCAGTTACTCAATCTAACACACTAATCTAGGTGTTACTGTAAAAAAATATTGTGTAGATTTGGTTGACCTACACAATCAGTTAAAGTTAAGTAAAGGAAATTCTCTTTGATAATTGGTGGGCCTCACCAATCAGTTGAAGGGTCTAACAAGCAAAACAGGTTTCTCTGAGAAAGAAGAAATTCTGCCTGTGGATTGAACTATAGCCTCAGCCCCAGCCTGAGAGTTTCCAGCTTGCTCTGCAGATTTTAGACTTGCCAACCCCTCAATCATATAAGCCAATCCCTTAAAATAAATCTCTTCATATATGTATATATCTCCTACTATTTCTGTTGCTCCGGAGAGCCCTGACTAATGCAGGGAAGAAGAGGATGTCTTCCTTCCATTAACTCCCCATTTGAATCAATTGGAAACATCAGGTTTGGGAATGAAGGAGGAAGGCCTGGCAGACAAGGAGATCTGAGGGGAGGGTGTTGAGAGCCTCCCGTCTAGAGGAAATGGTACCCCATGTCTAGAGATGGGGAGCAGTGAAAATATTCCCTGAACAATACTCCATCTGGATCATCAGATGAATAAGGACTTCTAGAAGCTCAAGTTTAATCACTGTTTTCTTTATTCTTTGGTTTTTGTTTTTTTGAGACAGAGTCTTGCTCTGTTGCCCAGGCTGGAATGCAACGGCATGATCTTGGCTCACTGCAACCTCTGCCTCCTGGGTTCAAGCGAGTCTCATGCCTCAGCCTCCTGAGTAGCTGAGACTGCAGGTGTGCACCACAATGCCCAGCTAATTTTTGTATTTTCAGTAGAGACAGGGTTTTGCCATTTTGGCTTGGCTGGTCTTGAACTCCTGACCTTAGGTGATCCACCCGCCTCGGCCTCCCAAAGTGCTGGGATTACGGGTGTGAGCCACTGTGCCCAGCCTCTTTATTATTTATCTCATCTTTGCTATCTCTAGTTTTGAGATGAGGAGCTTTCTTTCAGCCTCCTGTACTCTCAACTAACAATCATGAGCTTTTAGTTCAAGGGAAATAACTTGGTTTTGAGAAGAACAAATGATTCTGTTGCGCTTTGCTACAAAGTCTTTGACTTGCTTTCTGAAGGTTGTCAGCTCTTTATAACATGCTTATCTTGGCATTTGCTTCAGAAATTTCCTCCTCTTGCTCCAGTAATGACCTTCCCAGACAGATCATTTATCATTTATCACTTTGTCATGACTGCTTTGTCATGACAAAGTTCAGTCACTTCATTTCCTCTTTGCAGAAGATTTTGATCTGCACTTTCAATCGACGTTTGCTCAGCCTGAAGATTTTTTACCTGATCTGTCTTGGCTTTTCTGTTTTCTTCTTTAGCAATGTTGATGTAGACTTGATTTTTCTCCCATCTGGGATGTTTAAATGTACACTTGACTTTTCAACATCAATTTCCTCCCGGCTCCTCTTGTCTGGTCATAAATACTGTCTTCACCTGCAGATTCTAAGTTATTACCCATGTTCTCTTCTCCAAGGGAAGCTGTCACATCTTTTATCTTTAGGCCAGGCATGGTGGCATGCACCTATAGTCCTAGCTACTGGGAAGGCTAAGGCAGGAGGATTGCTTGAGTCCAGA